AAAGAGTAAACGTCGTCTTGCTACATATTGTCCTCGACCATACATTCGTCTATATATTCATCATTCCCTTTCTTTCTTCCGTCTCGTTTGTATATATGTTTTTTTGCTTTTCTCGTCAGCTGTTATACATATGGTATCTAGTCATCCTTTTCCTGACCTACTTCTTTTTGATCTATATTGTCATTGTAAGAAGAAAGGTGAATAGCCTTCTCTCTTTGTTGCTCATTGTCTAGTATGAAAAAAATAAATAAAAATGAAACTGAAACATTTCAGACGTATTAGAAGGTCACCCTAATTAGAAGGCCATGGAAAAAAGTAATAATGTGCCGAGACACTGTATAAGGGCATGGCTTTTTATGCTGGGGAGGGGGGCTTACATCACTATTTCTCGTGCAGCGATTACCAGGAAAGAGTTTTACCCTTAGATCTTCAGGTATACGCGGACAAGCTTTTTCCATTGTTTTATATGTTCACTATTCCTTTTTATTAATTCTAGTGTCATACATTTGAACAACGTCTCTGGAAACTGTTACCTGTTGTAATCGGTCCATATTCAATTTTAATGCCAATGGCAATGGTATTTCCTGGATGTACATTAGAAGGTAATAATGTCATACATCCATGTACATTAATTATGAAAAATGATCACTTACCAATAAATACACAATGGCACGGTTGTCCAGCAACAATGACACTTCATACCGCAGAAGAACGTTAGCAGAACGTCACATAGTGAATGAAAATGTTTTGCTTATATGTACTTACAAAAAAAGAATTTCGTCTGTAAGGATGTGCAACAATAGATATTTAAGACTCATTGTGGCCTTGAATTTTGCAGAGTTCGTGTTATATTTTCTTCTTTTTATCATGAAAGTATTTGTAAACATACCAGAACCATATGTTAAATGTTGCACGAATTGCTAGGAAAACGAAAAATTCGAATATTACTTATATATTCCGAACGGCAGCGCAAACCCGAATCAGCTCCTCTTGTTGGATGAGAACAGTACGCTTAGGTTCACATCTACCAACTTGAGGTTGGTTGTCAGAAAGAATGTATCCAGACATGCCGCGCAGGATGAACAGGTCTGATAGCACATCAATGACGTCGACTTGCACTAGTTTTGAATGTATCCATACTTCGTCATTAGAGAGAATATGAACTCTTATTGGTTTTGTTGATATTATTTCCGT